TCTCTCTTTCTCTCTCTCTCTCTCTCTCTCTCTGTGGAAGAAGAAGAAGAAGAAGAAGGAAGGAGGAAGAAGAGATGGAGGGCGAGACTAAGAAGAAGAAGAAGAAGATGTCGTCCTCCTCGCTGTCTCACCTGCAGGTAACTGCCGCCCCTAGGCCGGCTGTGGGCCTCCAGATTCGTGCAATCAGACTCGCTTTCTTTCACAACTCACATGCATGTAAACAGGTAGCGCAGCAGACTGGTGACAAGCGCCCACTCAGAACTCAGAGATATGGTAACCAAGAACGCTGTTCAGATACAAGCTCACTTCCAACGGCTATGCGCAACAGCGCCGGTACAACTCTCTGTCACACACACCAAATCACCCTGGATATCCCACACGCATCACACTGTACACACACGCACACACACACGCTACACTCTCCTATCAGCTATGGTGGCTATGGCCGCTGCTACCCCTATCGCTATGGCTAAACTCTCCTTCTCGCCCACTTCGTCTTCGGGCTCACTGCAGACCACCTCGCACAAGTTGCTATGGCAGCGCTTCTGCATGGCTTACGCAGGAATGAATGAATGGCTGGGCGCTGCCTCTTGATTTATACTTCTGTAGCTCGTTGGTCTGCCCCTTTTCCCATGCCCCTGGTGCACACAGTCCCATACGGTACTTGCTTGACTGGACTCTGACTGACTGGGACTGGGTACCGCTGACTCAGCACAGGTGGACTCCACCACTTGCCCACTTGCCTCTGCCTAGACGTGAGCCAGCTCCGACAGGCCACTTCTGGACCTTCCGGAAGCCCGTAGACTTGGCCTTTCGGTCTTGTAGCAGCTACGACCTTGACCTTTCAGGACGTTAGCAGCTACGACTTGACCCTTCGGAGGAGCTACAGCTACGACTCCTAGGACCTGCTAAGACTTACAAGCAACAGATCTACAGCTCGAACCCCTACAACCTACAGACCTACGGCAGCCTACCAACTGCTGCGAATACACAGGTCATGGGTTCAACTCTCGGGGTGGACACAGATACTGTACACGCGTTCAGATTATTGATTATTGAGGTGGTGATCGAGGAGGGAGCCCGAAGCAGAAGTGGGCATTGTCTTTATTTCTTCTTCTAAGTCTAATCTCCCTCCTCTCTCCTTCGTCGTGTATGTTTTCCCATCTCATTCTATCTGGACACGATTATGACTATTGATAATCATCAGCAGGTTGATATTCATCTGGGCTTGCATTGTTGACAAGTGTCTTCACGTTCTGGGTTCATTGCAGTGAGGTGTAGAGGATGCTGTACTTTGGACTTTATTATGGGTTTATAGAAACATCATATCTGGGTCACAATTCTTGCTACATACAGGTTGGGGTAAACCGTATATGCCATTTCAAATGCAGCGTTGTCTTGTCCTGTTCCCAAAATTGTCCAATTCTGAACACGTGAGAGGTGTGTATGCCGTTCACAAAATTACTACCGGGCATCCTCCGACCAGTTTTTTTTGTCAATGGCAGGGTTGCATACCTGCCGACCGCCGAACCTGACCGCCGACCAGTAGGGCCGACCGGTTGGTTGTCTGCCGACAGTCAGAAAACAGCCGTCCACTGATTTTTTTTCAAATCTGAGTTGGGGGATGTACTGCGCTTGCTGAGTACAGACCAAATCCGCTGAGAAACTTTTGGGGATGAGGGGGGGTA